AGCTTATCAAAACTCCATTTTTCTGGAGCTTCCATGATGCTGACCTGGGTAGACCTGGGGGCAGAGTCTTAGTTGCAGAGGCCTGATGGCTCTTACCCTACCCCAAACAGCCTCTAGGCTGGAGTGGAACTTCCTAAGTTATACCCTTTACCTAATGCTGTCACTTTGCTTTTCTAAGGCTCTGTGTGGCTGTACTGTGAATGTCCCCACTCTGGACGGCAGGACCATACCCATCGTGTTCAAAGATGTCATCAGGCCTGGCATGCGGCGAAAAGTTCCTGGAGAAGGCCTCCCTCTCCCCAAAACACCCGAGAAACGCGGGGACCTCATTATTGAGTTTGAAGTGATCTTCCCCGAAAGGATTCCCCAGACGTCAAGAACCATACTTGAGCAGGTTCTTCCAAAATAGCCACCTGTGTTCCCCAAGGACTGACCAGGGACCTTTCCAGAGCTCAAGGATTTCTGGACCGTTCCACCAGTTGTGGACCCGTGAGAGGGCGGGAGGGCCCAGGGAGGGCTTTCGTACTGCTGAATGTTTTCCAGAGAATATATTACAATCTTTCAAAGTCGTGCATTAGACTTCAGTGGTTTTTCGAGCCGATAGGGCGGTAGGTGGTGGTGACAGCAGGAGAAGGCGTTCCAGCTTGCCCCACTGGGTTCTGCAGCCCTCCTGGGATGGGCCCACCCCTCCTCCTCCAGGCCCTGCCCAGGGCCGAGAGGCAGCCCTGCAGCTGGACTTGAGCCCTCTGTCATCCCTTTGCTTGCGGCCATTAGGTGATGGCAACCTGCCATCCTGGTCACCACACCTTCCCTGTATGCTCTTCAAGTTGTTGTGTGACCAATTTGTGTTTCCTTCTGTATTTGTCTCCCATGTCTTGCTCTTCCTCTGAAGAATCCCATCTTTTGCCATCTCAAATTGAGAACCTAGACTACTTTTGCAGAAAGGCCTGGCCTGCACCCACAAGCAATACCTCTCATTCCAGCAGGACCAAGGGAGCCAGCTTCAGAGTGACTTGCACAGCCACCTCTCCCTCGAGAGTCAGGAGCCCTTTTCAACCTCAGGCTCCGAGGCCAAGTGTGCTCACTGAAGGGTCTTTTCCTTTAAGGCAATCTTTGGCACACTGGGCCTTCCCAATGGCCCGGGACGTGCTTTGTTTAACGGACTCTGGACTCTTTCAAAAGGATCTGATCCTTTTGAATTTTGCACAGCCCTAGATATAATCCCTTTTGATAAAAGGGTCTTTGCTCCTGATTATAGGAGCACTGTGGGATGTCTGTAAATATGTTTTTATAATTCCATGTAAAGTTGGTGTACTTTCAAATGAAACCAGTCCATGGCAGCTGCTGCTCTCTGTACAGGCCCATAATGGGAAGGATAATTTTGCACCCTAGATATAATCCCTTTTGATAAAAGGGTCTTTGCTCCTGATTATAGGAGCACTGTGGGATGTCTGTAAATATGTTTTTTTTATTCCATGTAAAGTTGGTGTACTTTCAAATGAAACCAGTCCATGGCAGCTGCTGCTCTCTGTACAGGCCCATAATGGGAAGGAACTCATTGTAAGTTGCCACTGCCAATACAAGACCAAAGTGTGTGACTTGTCAATGTGCAGCGTTAAAGACAGCATTAAAGTCTGATGCTAAACCTCAGGGGAGCAGTCCTGCGACTCTGTTTGAGGGCTCTGCTGACTGGGGCGGGGCTGGGTATCCCTCCAGCCAGAACAGGAGGGAGGAGTTGCAGGAGAGGCAGGAGTCCTCTGCCAAAGAGATAACTGTTCCCTCCTGGGCTCCATGTCGGTTGGGGAGTGTCAACCCACCCAGACTCTGCATCTAGATATCCAAGACCCCACTGGATTCAGAGCTTATTTTTTTGTGAAGGTTGGGGCCGAAGTTAAACATTTCTCCTTTCTGTCTTTTGGGGCCCAGGGGAGCAGTGCATGTTCTGTCCTCTTAATCCTCTTCCACTCCTTTCTTGCTGGAACAGGCTGGGTTGTTGGGCAGGCCCTGGCCAAGCCTGGCTAGGACTCCAGGCCGGTGCTGGCTGCCTGCCCTGGAGAAGACCGCTTCCTGCTCTCCCTTATTTTGCACACCACTGAGGCTGCTTTTACTCTGTAACTTTTTTTTTTTTTTAAGGGACTGGTTTTACTATAAGGTAAGTAATTATACAGGCTGGAAACAATGTATTGCTACTTAGCTACAAAAAAGTCAGTAAAAATAACACCATATTAAAGTCAACCTAGGAGTGGCTTTCCCTTCCCACTACAGCAATTTAACCACTGAGAACAGTGGGAGCAGCACTGTCCAAGAGAACTTTGTAATGAAGGGAATGTTCTGTGTTTAAATGGAAATTCAATTCAATAACATTAAAAACTCAATTTCTCAGTCTCTTCAGCCACATTTTAAGTCCTCAGCAGCTGCACATGGTTAGTGGCAACTATTGGAAAGCACAGAACTAGAATTGAGAGCTTTTCACCCAAATCTAGGACAGGTCTGTTCTTAGAAGAGCAGCCACATTGAGCCATCCTAGTTGGGAAGTGACCCCAGATAGCAGAGCCAAAAAGGACCTCATCACGAGGTGTTTACTGAACTGCCTCAGGCACCAAGAAGACATTTAATGCAGAACTGAACTTGGCTGCAGACAGGGTCACCATCCCCAGTGCTGCCAACCCCCTGCCCCCAGTCTCCATTATGTAGCAGGTCCCTGTGAACTTAATATCCGAAAGTGCACAAAGCCTGAATGTGCACACAGTAATGGGAACTTCCGGAAACAACCTACTGAGGGTGTGGGTGGGGCAGTGATTCTTCAGAGCAGTGATCATGGTGAAAAAAAGACTCAGGTGGAAAGAAAACCTGCTTTTCAGGTGTGCACTGTTTTGCGCATGCTGGACCTGGATGTGTGTGGCCAGAAATGTTTGGTGGGTCCATTAGCAGACCACTTCCTGGGCCGCCCTTTAGGGATTCATTTTCCTGTTCCTATGCTGCCTCTCGGCACGTTTTGGAGTTCCTGGCCTGTCAGGACATGCAGAGCTTCCCCTCTGACCCACCTCATCTTAATCCATTGTACCAGTAGTGTCACATTTCTGCATGATTTAAACAGTACAAAACTCAAAATGTTTATCAAGCCTGAGGTGAGAAGTCGAGTCCCCTCACCCCTCTGGGCCTGCAGCTCCCTTGCCCTCCGTGCCCGTATAGACAAGCCATGGCATCAGATTTTATTTAAAAACATTTTTTTTGCGCATCCTCAGGGTGTGCTTGTATAACTATAATTTCTAAATTTGGGGTTCAGTTGTTGGCTGTGTAATTGAAATACCAAACTTGCAAGGGCACAGAGTGAGAATCCTCCCACCCTGCTATTTGAGTCCACCCCAGCGAATATTCCCAGTGAGTGTATGCCTTCCCAGAGATGCTGTGTAAGTGCATTTTTCTGTTTTACACAAATGGTGCATACTGTACACTCTGAATTTTTTCCCCTTAGGTAGTGTATGGTGGAAATAAAGAGTTTCCTCATTCCTTTATTCTGCCATGCCTACCTACATGGGAGTGAAGTTACAGGTCAGTGTTTGGTGGCCCCTTACTCTCCCCTAGCCATTGTTCCTGCTTCCAAGTTTCAGTTCCAGCTCAGCTACTTTCTACTGTGTGACCTTGGGCAAGTGACAACCTCTCTGTGCCTCAGTTTCTTCAATCTGTGGTTTCACTTCCCACAGTTCAGTTAACACCAGACAATCGCAGTCCAAAATATTAAATGGAAAATTCCAGAAATAATTCGTAAGTTTTAAATTGCATGTCATTCTGAGTAGTTCAAGGAAGTCTTGTGCCAGCCTGCTCCATCCAGCCCAGAGCTGAATCATCCCTTTGTCCAGCACATCCACACTATGTATGCTCCTCCCCTCCCCAACCATTAGTCACTTAGTAGCCATCTTGATTATCAGATCAACTGTCATGGTATCTCAGTGCTTGTGTTCAAATAGCAATATTTTACTTAGTAATGGCCCCAAAGTACAAGGGTAGCAATGCTGGCAATTTGGATATGCCAAAGAGAAGCCATGAAGTGCTTCCTTTAAGTGAAAAGGTGAAAGTTTTCAATAACAGAGACCACATTAACATAACTCTTTTTACAGTATAGTGTTATAATTGTTCATTTTATTATTAGTTGTTAATCTCTAACTGTGCCTAATTTATAAATTAAACTTTACCATAGGTAGGTATGTAGAGAAAAAAAAGTACATACAGGGTTTAGTACTATCTGTGGTTTCAGGCATCCACAGGGGTCTTGGACTATATTTCCTGTGGATGAGGGGTCCTGGGACTACTGTAGTACCTCTTCTAGTGCTGTAAAGTAGTTCTAGATACAGATACGCCCCAGGGCCTGGCATAGAACCAGCACTGTGCATCAGTTATTAGCATAACTACATGCTTATGTGAAGCTCTCTTAGCTCACAGCCTGGGGTGTGGCCCAGGTCTTTTAGGTCAAGTGTGCTTAGCTGAGCTTTTTTAAAAAAATGTTTTTAGCCGGTTTGGCTCAATGGATAAAGCATTGGCCTGCGGACCTAAGGATCCCGGGTTCGATTCCGGCAAGGGTACATACCTCGGTTGCAGGCTTCTTCCTGGGCCAGGCCCTGGTCAGGGCGCATGCAGGAGGCCACCAATTGATGTGTTTCTCTCACATCAATGTTTCTGTCTTTCCCTCTCTTCCACCTCTAAAAATCAATGGAAAAATATCCTCGGGTGAGGATTAAAAATAATAATAATAAATAGTTTTTAAAATATATTTTTATTTCAGAGAGGAAGGGAGAAGGAGAGAGAGATAGAAACATCAATGATAAGAGAATCATTGATTGGCTGTCTCCTGCACGTCTCCTACTGGGGATCGAGCCCGCAACCCAGGCATGTGCCCTTAACTGGAATTGAACCCAGGACCCTTCAGCCCACAGGCCAATGCTCTATCCACTGAGCCAAACCAGCTAGGGCAAAAATTGTTTTTATTGATTTGAGAGAGAGAGGACGGGAGGAGAGAGAAACATCCATTGGCTGCCTCCTGCACGCCCCCTACTGGGGATCAGGCCTGAAACCCCAGCATGTGCCCAGACTGGAAATGGAACTGGCACATAGGAGGACATTCAACCAATTGAGACACACCAGCAGGGGCTTGGCTGAGCTTTAAAATTCCCAGGAAAGTTGCTGAGACTCTCAGGTCGAGCCCTGGCCCCCCACCCAGCCCAAGACACTGTATCTAAAGTAGGCTCGGCTCACTCTCCTGTTATCTTGTTTTTATTTTTATTTTTCATTGGGGGGGGATTAATCTGTTTTTTTTGTTAATCCTCCTCTGGGGATATCTTTCCATTGATTTCAAGAGAGAGTGGAAGGCCCTAACCGGTTTGGCTCAGTGGATAGAGCGTCAGCCTGCGGACTCAAGGGTCCCAGGTTTGATTCCGGTCAAGGGCATGTACCTTGGTTGTGGGCACATCCCCAGTAG